ACCACGGACAGGTAAATGTACAGTCTTTCCTCAGGACGAGATGAAGCGAGGGTGGGAAGGTGGTGCAAGTATTCTTTCAACTGGTCGAAGACTTGTTGGCATTCTTCGATGCTGGTAAAGTGGTCGGCCTTCTTCAACACCTTAAAAAAGGGTAAAGCCTTCTTGGCAGATTGAGACAAAAAGCGGTTTAGGGCGGCCAGACGGCCGTTTAATCTTTCAATTTCTGGGACATTTCGAGGTGGGGACATGTTTTGAATGGCTTTCACTTTATCGGGGTTAGTCTCAATGCTTAGGTATGAAACTAGGTATCCCAAGAATTTTTTCGAAATGACACCGAATACGCACTTTTTCGGATTTAACATCATCTTGGTATTTCGAAGAATGCTGAACACTTCCCTCATATCAGGTAGTCAGATCGAAGTAGTTTGCCTTTTCAGGAGGATATCATCCACATAAACCTCTATATTGCGGTCACAGTTCTATATTGCAGCCAATCTGATCTTTAAAGATGCGGTTGGCGAGCCTTTGGTAGGTTGCCCCAGCGTTCTTTAATCCGAAGGGCATCGTCGTGTAACAATAAATGCCTTGGTCAGTGTAAAACGCAGTGTTCTCCTGGTTCTCCTCACTCATTCATACTTGGTGGTATCCCTTGAAGGCGTCTAGGAAGTAGAGAATTTCATATCCCATGGTCGAATCGACGAGGATGTCTATTCTCGGCAATGGGTAACAGTCTTTAAGGCAGGATTTGTTGAGATCGATGAAGTCCACAAACATTCTCCACCCACCGGCGTCCTTCTTGACCATGACTGGGTTGGACAGTCAGGTGGAGTATTGGACTACCCGAATCATCTTGGCGGGCAAGAGTTTGTCCACTTCTCCGGAAACTGCTTGACTGCGTTCAGGGCCGAAGTGCCTTCGTTTTTACTTCACAGGACGGGCCCGTGGGTCGACGTTAAGTCGATGAATCATGAGTTCGGGGGGTACTCCGATCATCTCATCTGTAGTCTAAGCAAAGACATCTCGGTGCTCCTTTATCAGGCTGATCATTTCTTCTTTGAGGAGGGAGGGAAGGCTTGTCCCCACTTGTACCACTTGGTCGGGTCTCACATCGTCCAAGGTTACCTCTTCCACCTCATCCCCAGGTTCAAACCTGTTAGGTTCCTCGGCTTTTTGAGGATCAATGCAGTTTATGGAGAGGACATTCGGCCTCTTCCCCTCAGCCTTTGCTTCGGCTCGGGTGGCGACTGTAGCTTGTATGGTGGCGAGGTAACATTTTCTGGCCGCGTTCACATCGCTACTCACCTCGGTCACACCAGTTGGTGTCGGAAACTTGAAGTTCAGGTGGTAGGTGGAGTATACGGCTCTCAGGGCGTTGAGTGTGGGCTGTCCTATTAACATATTGTAGGGGAAATCGACTTTGACAACCGCAAAACTAACGGGAATAGTCCGGCAGCGGGAATGACGGTCAATAGTCACCATCAGGGAGACTATCCCCTCTGGGTGGACTACATGTCCCCCGAACCCTACCAGCGGAGTCCTGACAGGGGTGAGTTGTTCTCTTTTCAGCTTCAGGTTCTCAAAGGTTCGGCAGTATAGGAAATCTACCGAGCTACCGGGATCTACATAGACTTTTTTGACAAGGTAGTTATTGGTTAGGACTTCAATCACGAGAGTTTCGTGGTTACTGGCGCCGGCAGGGACGGGGTCGTTGGGACCATAGGTGATCACGTCAGAGAGTCTTGAGCTAGGCTCGGCAGGGTCCAGGCTAGCTTGGCGCTAGGTCCTCTTTTGGGAGTTCTGACTATCTCCTCCCGTCGGACCACCTTCGATCGTGTTAATGACCCCGACTATGTTCGGGCTGTAATTTCGGGATCCATCTCTGGGGGGTCTTCCGAATTCCCTGTGGTCACCGAGACCACGGCCCTGGCCTTTCTGCTCCCGCCTGTCATTTCGAAGTGGTTCACCTCGGTTGTCGCGGTGAAAGTTGCTCCGGTTGAAGCCTCCGTCCTTGCGGATGAACTACCTCAGGTACTTTTGTTTGATCAAGTTCTTTATTTCCTTCTTCAAGTCACTACAATCTTCGGTCTCATGCCCGACGTCCCTATAGTAGGCATAGTAGAGGTTGGAGTTCCTTTTCTCCCTCCTCCCGAGCATTTGTGGAGAGGTACGACCGAGGTGATTTTGTTCCATGACGGCTAGAATATGGGACCTGATAGTGTTAAGGGGAGTGAGCTCCGCCTCAGAGACCAACGGTCTCCCCTTAGCGATTCTTTCAAATACACTGCGGCGATCTCGAAATTAATTTGAAGGGCCGCTGGGGCCCTGATCACCTCGGTCGGACTCTTTCTTCTTTCGGAGCTCCTGCCCCGCGCGGGCTGTTTGGGCTTCTCTCTTCATGCGGTTTAAATTCCCACTCTGGATTCCTCGGTCAACCCTTTCCCAGAGTTCCCGAGGTGATCGTGGGTACTCCCGGTTTATCTCCGTGTTGAAGGTGCCCGCTATCAACCCGTTCGTGAAGACAGCTACGGTCACCTACTCATTCTGGTCGGGTATCTGCATGTTCTCCTCATGGAACCTCTGCACGTACGAGCGCAGGGACTCCTCCGAGGTCTGCTATATGTTTAGCAGGTAGGCCGATGTCTTCGTCACTGGCCGAGACGACACAAAGCGGTAGATACTCCTAGATTCTAAATTCCAGAACCATTTTAGGGCAGTCCCTTGCAGGAAGATGGGGAAAGCTCGACAGATTACGGCGTCGGGGATGCAATACAGACGAAATGCCGAGATGAAGGCTCGGAGGTGATCATCGGGATCACCTCGTCCGTCGTAAGGTGGCAGCACCGGAAGCTTAAAGTTGGGGGAAACCCTCTCCCCATTTATGTCGTCAGTGAAGGGTGAAGCCCTCATGTAATCGGTTGCCAGCCCCTCAGGGCGCCGATGTGCATCCTCCGTCCATCTTCCCAGTAAGCCCCGGGAAAACACCCTGAAAATTGAGATAATCTTGGAGGTTGCCTTGGAGGAGGCTCGTTTTGAGGTGCTCCGGGAAAGGTGCCCATCGTCGAAATCTTCTCCGGAAGGCATCTCGAGGGATTTTGCAGACCTTCTCTTAGAAGATTTGGCTTTTTCCTTGCCCTGCCTTTTGAAATACGTTTCGAGTTCCTCAAAAATGTTGAGGTTGTTTGCTACAAACTCGGCCATCCGGGCGATGGCATCTTCGTTTGCGGGGTGGGCACTCGAGGACCCTTGCTCCTCTGAGATATGATTCTACTGAGCATTTGAGCTTGGCTCAGCTCCGGTTGAGGGAACCTTCCTACTCCTGGAGCGCGTAGGTCTCATTTTGAGAGTAATCTCGATTCCCACAGACGGCGCCAATTGAAGAGGTGATTTCTGGCTAGATAGCTGAGATTACCTAGGACAGTCACCTCTCGGATGAAGTGAAGTTTGGAGACAGGTTCGTTGGTCCGAAGTGAAAGGCGGGGCTCTGTCCCCTGGGATCACTCCGACGATCACGTCAGTTTAGTGAGAGAAAATGGAGAGTAATAATCAATACCAATGTAACAGTGTGCTTACTTGCGTGGGAGAGCGAAGGGTATTTATAGGGCGAGTCTGGAGGGAAGGACAAGAGGTTTAAACACCGGGCCCCACCACCTATGTATTACGGCGCTGCTCTGTTCCTGTAGTAACAACCTAGGCCTTTTCCCAGAAAGTATGGGGGCATTCCCGACAAAGTCTCTGCAGCTTTTCAGATAAAGCAGTGGCTCTCAATAGGGTGTCAGGCAGGTTGACATCATCCGCGTGCAGCCGAGATGAGCTGCCTAAAGGACATAGGTTGAGGTCATACGGGGTCTGAGATGAGGTCTATCCGAGGTCATTAGGGATCCTGGATTTCGGGCCTCATCTTGGTCTCATGACAGACGAGGTAATGTAACCTCGGGTTGGGAGAAACCCGAGATAACCATCCTCAGCTGCTATTGATCGAAGGATTTTCTCGACAATGGTGACGTCCTCCAAATTCTCTCCATGGATCCTCATCTTGTTAGCGATTGCCATTGTTCTTGCGAAATAATTTGTGACCGACTCGCTTGACTTCATGCATAAAGTCTCAAATTCGGTTGAAGAGTTTGAAACTGTACCCGTTTTGCCTTCGTATTTTCTTGATATTTCTTCTTTATGGAGTCCCAAATCTGTTTGGAGGTATTTTTGCTAAGAATTGTCTCCAAGATGGCTTGATCAATAGCTTGATAAAGATAATTCTTGACTTTAAGATCTTTCAATTTCAATGCTTCTAATTCCGTTTTCTGCACCTCTGACAATACTACTTTAACTATTAGCTCTATTACTCCAAATTCGATAATCTACCAATACTCCTTGGACCTCAAGAAGTTTTCCATTAGAATACTTCAATGATCATAGTGACTATCAAAACGAGGAATTGTTGGATACACAAAATTGTCGGTGACTATCGTGACTTACCAATACAATTTTCACAACTTACTTTTGTTTTAACTCACGAATCAAACTCTGATGTCACTGTTACAATGACTGAGAAAAATAATAAGGGAAGCAAAGGACAAGAGTTTATTTCTTTGTAAAGCTAATTCTCAACTCATAATATGAAATTGTTCTATTTATAAAATTCAAAATAATTTCACTAACTATCCTACTAACTTCACTAGTTACTCTACTAATTTCACTAACTACTCCAATATCTCCACTAATTCTACTAATTCCACTAATTTGGTAGAACAAAACAAATAAACATGATTAACTAATAATAGTAAATATTTCTAACAGTGGGAATCTTCAGAATTCCCACTGCTTAGCTTTTAGTTCGCCTTTGACCATAGAATGAAATGTGAATAACCTGTCCTCCTCTCTTTGAAAGAAAGGGCACGTCAGGTTTTGTCTGTGCGTATTATTATATTTTCATCATTCTATTAACTTGAAGTTTTGAACCGTGGAATGACCATAGCAAACATAGTATGGTAAAGTGAGATTTGAGATGCTGAATAAGACATGAGAAACAACGTAGTTGAATGGGGATTCCTGGATGTAATGTCAAAATTGGTGGATCTGTGTTGGGCTATATTCATATGATCTGTGGTTAGACAAAAGCTGGACATATATTGAGCTTATGGTTTTTGCCATGAAGCTGAGCAAGGAATCTCTGCAGATGTATCAAGTTTCGGGTACCCAGCTGAAGCAAGATTGCTGTCCTATTTCTGATTTTCACGCATTCCTTCGGGTTTGGTGCATTTTGGTGGGATATTTTAGCATACAGTTTTCAATTAGTGACTTCTGAGAATACAATTTTTAAACGCTAAACTTCTAGAATTCTGAGACTAAAAGTTATCTTAACTTTCCAGTACAAGAACACATGATAAGGACACCGATAATTTTTGTTGTAGGGGTATGAATGCTGTGAATTGAACTTAATCTTTCTTGTGGTAATTTACAATTTTGATGAGATCGGAAAAAGTTTCATAGAAAGGAATTCCATCATTAGAATATTTTGATTAGCAAAAGTCTGGATTTAGGAAAAAGGAGGACGCCACAGACTTTCTTTTAGAAACTGGAAGAGCTACGTTCATAGTTGGAGAGGGTCCGGATGTCAGTAAATGGTAATGAAGAGCTAAAACTAGAACAGACAGAAACTCTTATCACATAAATCACCTAAACCTGTAGTTGATAAATAATTCTAAATTTTTCCTTTTTTTGGGTTATTAATGACCAGAATGTATAGATGATTTTAGACTGCTTTTTTTTGTGTGTGTGTGTAAAGGTTCAAGAGCAACACCACCTATGATCAGAGTACTGTTTCTGGTATCGTTCAAAGATGCAGCAATCAACTGGATCTCAAGCAGCTAAATTTGGAGCAGGTAGAAGCCTGTTGAAAGGTCTTCAACTTTCAACATTGAGGATTAACAACTTGCTTTGCTTGCACCAGCCAAGAGTACGCCACAGTTTATGGAGCGGTGCACTGTGCTGAAACAATGGGCAGAAGTGGTTATGAAGATTGGTTGACAGTGCCATATCCAGGGCTATTTACCTGATACGGATGGAAGTGCTATTCATGTAGCCTCTTCTCTTAGGTACTCAGAGGACTCCTTTCTTCGGAGCAGGTAATAAATAGTAGTATGTGTTTTTACCCTAGATCTATGTCCTCAAGCATACATTATTGATTCAGCTAAGTTACCTGCATGTCGATTCGCTTCTTGTCTAAAATGTTTTCGTATTCCATAAAGACGCATGCCATTTAGTCGCACATTCTTGATAGGAACTTTTCCACTCTCAGCTTCTTGACAAACAATTGTTCTGATGAATAAATATCCTATTATTTGTATTTTTTTTATTCTAACTAAATTGGTAATAATTTTGCTTCCCTATCTATCTTCTGGATGCAGACAATGAGCCGTCGTGAGATAAAAAGAAGCTTTGAGTTCTTCATCTTTCATGCATTCCTCCTCGATCTTTCCTAGATGATGCTTGACTACAAGTTAATTTATTTGCCTTAAAAGTTTGCCTGTAGTTGGTGAGAGTCTTCCAATTTTTTTTTTTTTATATTTGCGAGGAGGGAGGGATACGTAGCAGTGGAGGGTATGTCTATGTGGAGGTGCTGGCGTTCTTATATTATTAACCCTAGCTTTGTCTGTACATATCAGTTGCCCGCAACGTGAAATGCTCCTCATAAAGGCCTTTCAATGGTAATCACAAGATCATTGAAATATCGGCTATACTTTATAGCGTGGCTGCTGTTCAACCCTTTGAATTGTCACATGTAGAATAGCAATTGCAGCCTATTGTCGATTACCAGCGATTTGGAGCAGCACTTGTGCTGATCCAGTCTTGGCATGCAGTGGTCCAGAGGCTGAGTTGTTGTTTACAATTGAAAAACTTTCACAACAATTTGATTGATGGTATTTTGTTTTTTTCACAAATCGGTAGTCCAGCATATTGCCTTGCTAGACTGCCCCCCTGGTCCACTATGCTGCTGCTATAGAGTTTTAAAGATCCGCAACGAAAGATTTTTAAGTAGCAAAGAAAATAGACGTTATTTACATCGAAGTCATCATTCATTACCGGTCCTAGTGAGGAATGGATTTCTAAAATGGTTGCATGTACTACTAAACCAAAGTCACTTGTCCCACCACAATAAGAATCTGGTGGTTTAATATTCCAGGTCTTTGTCACACTTACCTCTCACTCGTTGTTCCACGTTAATAAACAACATGACCTGGTTTTACGTTCCAAGTCGTCGTCGTCACAAGTCGTCTGGTTTACCGTGATTTGTGAGGGGTTCTGTCGTTGTGCTCGGATGAAAATGATTTGAGATAAAATAATTTATTTTACAAGTTTTAATTATTTTTTTATCTCACATACATCACGTCATAAAGTGTTGTAGTATATACAGTATTTGTTTTACTTTCCACTAGCTTGTCATGTCTGGAATTACAAACAAGTTTTATGTCCATTTTCTGGGAGGTGAGGATTTGTTGAAGAAGTTGTGATCCACCACAGGACCACAACAACAAGACCCGGAGGAGGACATGCATATATATATATATATATATATGTTACTACTAATTTTTTTTTTAAAAAAATGAGCTTATTTTTACGGGACGAAGTGAAGTGAGTACCATATAATTTTCTGTAAAAATTCTACTAAATGGTACAGGTGTTTCTATAAATTGTCTGGTAGGCAGTGCCGATGAAGCAAACGGACAATACGACGACGCTTGGAGCAATTTTAACCGGGGGACCAGAGTGAAAGGAGACAAAGATGATTGAGAGAGAGAATTGAATAGTAAGCATCTAGCGAACGGACGACGGGAAGACACGTGGGAGGGCAATACAAGCGGGGAGAGGACGTAAAGATAATTGAGAGAGAGATGAATGTGCGAATGTGAAGGTGTTAATGTGTTATTATAAGTAAAAGGGCTGCAGGGGTTGAATTAATTAATGAGGACAATTGAAATCTACAATTTGTTACATCAACCATGGGTAGATGATTAGAAAATACTAGTGTACTTTTTTTTTTTCTTTTTTTTTTTTTTTGTCGACTGAGGGTATCCCAGGTAATTTTGCCCAGACTAATCCCCAGGCTGGGAGAGCCTGCCCCACGGACAATACTAGTGTACCCACCCCGCAAATAAATATGCATCAATAACTGCTGAAAGATAAAGTATAGAGAAATTGACAAGTTGGAATTAGATAATCATTGTAAAGATGGTGCCAGATAATAAGTATTAGTAATTCGACACCGCCACGTCAGTCACACTTGAATGATTGAGTATCTGAAGAATATATAATAATTAATAATTAAACACTACTGATTCGTCATTCACATTTGAATGATTGAATATATAACTTGTAACTTGCAAGCATATGCTAAGGGTACGTGTATAATATGTGAATTTATGACTTGTAAGCATGTGCTAAAAGTACATATATAGTATGCTAATTTTGTCTAAGCATCGATGACTAAGACGACGCATATGAATTACACGTCAAAGTATTAGAATTGTATATTATTTTTTACTATTGAAAGCAATCAAGTCATTTGCTGAGCGGCGCGGGGAGGAAATATAGGTTTGAGTGATGTGGAGGTCAATTGTGGATTTGTCCACCTCGGTAACCCCGCACCTTTGAGGATGGGCTTCCTCAAAGGTGCGGGATTGTCGAGGCGGACAAATCTACAATTGGCCTCCACAAGTGACTTCTTCCTAATCGATGTGCTCCAATGGGCCGTCATTACGGATTTCTCATTTTATTTTTACTTCTTAAAAATTATTTCATTCTAGCATAATATCCTTGATAGTTTCACACTATTATGCACTCCGGCTATCAGGTCGTTTTCCTCAATACCCTCTGCAACAACGTAATTTATGAATTTTCTAACCATTCCTTTAAGTTCTGCCCACAATATACTAAAACAATCATGCAGCAGCAGCAGCATCATTATATTACCTCTGCTACAGAAATAGCATCCCACAAAATTAATTATTTTAAACTTTCACTATTAATAGCCTTTACCCAAATAACATATTAATGGCATATAGCCTTTGCCTATTAATAGGACATAATCTTTACATATATGATGTATAATTTGGTCAACGAATGTAGTAAAATGATATATAATATATCGGATCCCATTTTACTGCACGCGAGTTTGAAATCGATTGTTTTTAAATTCAGAATCTCGTTACCTATTGAACATCATATTCGAATTCAATGAATTTGGTTCATAATAATTTCGCACCAAATCACGGTTTACCAGTTTCAAGTTAAACTTCATTTCAAAATCGATCAGTAAATCAGTTCGCACCCATTTATGCTCACCCCTAATAGACACAAGTGATTAGTAGATAATTAGCAATGGGTGTGTTTTTTTTGTTTTAAGTATACGATTAGTTGCGGACGAAAGTTAACCTCCACTATGGAATTCTGAAATAGAGAATTGCTGCACCAACTCCCCTCCCCGCTGATTCTTTCCTTCCTCCTTCGTGCCTCTGTCGATACAGACGAGGATGGCTGCCTCAAAGTAACCACAATATCAAAAATTATTGCTATCCTCCCTTTTCCCAACGGGCCTTATCACGTGACTTCTTCGACTGGAATCCAGCCTGGTGTGGGTCTGGACGGTGAATTATTGGGATTTTTTTTAAAAAAAAATATTATAATATTTTTTAGTATGATATATACTATAAAATAAAAAAATAATTAATAATATAAGTAAATAGATTTCTGAAAATAATACACAAATTACTTTTGGTGTCTCGGCACATGGGTTTCATATTCTCCAAGCATCTGACATGGTTCAGATATTATATATTTTCTGCACTGTCCATAATACACAATCCATAATTTCTGCTCATGGGTTTTTATATTTCCCAAGCAGACGATAAATTCATCTTACATGGTACGGATATTACGTTTCTATTCAAACTTGATAACCGCGTAGCTTTTGACCGAACTAAGCTTATTCATGATTTCCATCTTCGATGAAATTTCAAGTGGGCAACTTTTATAAGGACTATTATGTCTTTTTGCAGACTATTCCTGAATAAGAAGTGGTAATAAGTAAGTGCGACAGCTATTTTTCTTGTGTGAGAAGCATAATGTGGCTGCGAGCGATGTTGAACGTTATTACGAGGCGAAAGGGTCCAAACTTTGACTAATTGTTAGAATAAATTTACTTTCAAATATAAGAAATATAACTTGATTTGTAGTATGCCAAAGTTTTCCATGATTGCCAACCCAACTCGTCAATTCTCTAATCTTCCGCTCGATGGAGGGATAAGAGTCGTGCCTTTCCACTCAAAAAAAATTTGTGATTCTAACACTGGCAACTAAATCAGAATGAAATGACCATTTTTTTAAATTCAAATATTGAATGTTAAAATGGAATAAAATCTACATAAACTTGACTTAATTACCCTGACATGTATTACTGCTAAAGATAACAAGCTTTTATTTTTGTGTCACCTCTCTATGGTATGCCATTTGTGTACCAACAAGGAACTTTAACATTTTTTTTTTGTTTTAAGAATAAATTGTATTCTTATTGAAATGATGCAGTCATAATATTTAATTAATTCTACATTACGAATTTTTTAAGTTTTGAAATATTATATGCATTAGCAATATAATATTACAAAGAAATTCACATGAAGTCAAACTCTTTATGCTGTTTTCATTTTTTTGTATTAAGTTCAAAAATGATCTTACACATTTGCACAAAAGTTCTGGAAAAATATTGTCTAAGTTGATAACAGAGAGGAAAAAAATTATTTTAAACATAACTAGAGTTTTCTTTTATTGAAAAAAAAAAAGCTACAATCAAATATCACTCTAAAATTTAGTAATGGAGTAGAGAGATGTAAGGAAATAGACTTGATCTTATTATTTTGACCATTTAGGATAAAGTAGGAAAAAGCTTCTCCTAGGATTTTGTTGAGGAATGTGGTTTTCAAGGATGAGCAAGAATGGGCTTTCTAAGCCAAATTCATAATTTACCTAAAAATATAATAGATCAATTGAAAAGTATTTCCTTTTTTTTGGTCAAATTGAAAAGTATTTCCATTCTTGGTTATTCCTATACAGAATCAAATGAGAAGTAAGTCCAGACTTGACAACTTTGACTAATTGATAAATAAATATACTATCAAAGACGAAATATAAATGCAACGAATTTTGAATTCGAAGTTTTAATTATTGACTCAATATTTAATACATTCAAATCTACGACTTTTCCAGGGAAATTGAGTGTCGTGTTTCGGACATTGAATCCCAGTTTCTCGTGCGCTGTCTCCGTCAAGGTTCTCTCATAGCCCTAATTAGGGTTGCAAACGATTCGAATCGAATCGAATTTTGAATTTATCGAGTCGGTTGGACTTGTTAATGTGCGAGTTTGAGTTCGAGTTCGAGTTCGAACTCGTCGAGCCAAAAAAAATGAAACTCAAGTTTGACTCGATTTAGGAAAATGAAAATTCAAGCTCTACTCGTTTCTGGCTCGCGAGCTTGGCTCGATTTCTGACTGGCAAGCAACTCGAGATATCAGCTTGATTTTAATTGATGTAAGGGTATTTTTATAATTTCACATCAACTCGAGTTTTTCAAGCAGTTCATCGAGCAATTAAACTTAACAAATGACTGCACGAGTTCGACTCGTATAAATTAACGCTCGGCTTGAACTTGGTGTTGATCAAACTCGAGTCGAATTCTGATTCGAACTACTCACGAGCAGCTCGAATCAATTGCAGCCCTAGTGTCAACTATCAAATACTAAAACCATTTGGTGATCATTATGCAAGAGAGAAAGTATATTTTGAGCGGCTTAATTAGCAAGTACTAATATCATAAACCAGGCATATTACAA